AAGTTCCAAAACAGTGATGAAAGAGGAAAACGTGCACACGCTGCCTTGGAAATGACACAGCTCCTTGTAGTTTCACAACACAGCTGAGAAGAACACATCCTGTACACAGGCAGGACATGGTGGCTTTGACACCATGTAAATAACAGGAAGGAACCATAATAAAGCAAACACACCAAGCAACAATTCTAAAAATCACAGCTATCTTGCAGGCTTCACTAGCCAAGCCTGCTGCACCAGTCATTTTTTGGGGGTTCGTGAGATGGCCACACCCCTTCCCCTGGCCACATCCCCTTCCCACACTTATTTGGGAGTTTCCTAGCATCTGTGCAATTTTTCCCCAAATTCTAAAATACTGAAATGCCTTTACTGAAAGGGTGTCATGCTAAAATATACCACTGTTTTTGCTATTTTGCTACACACCCTTTTCTTTGGACATCATCCAGAAGAAGGTTCCCGAGAGTTTCTCCAAAATTGAAATTGACTCCAAGGCCAAAACTGCCTCCCCACTCCTGCGTTAAGGCAATGCAAACCCCTAGTGCAAACAGGATGTTAATTAACACAATACTTTACCCACGGAGATTGTGTTAATTAACACCCTAGTTGGGATTTGGCTGAGCTAAGACTGGAAAAAAACCCAAGGCTGAGCTTAAATTACTTGTGTCAACAGGAAAGTCCAGAGTCCCTTGCCATATATTCTGTGCGCCTATGAGCACTAAAACGAATTACTTTGTGTCTCTCATAAGCCTGCAATTAAGGAAGTTCTCTGCCTAAAACCCTGGCCTGCCATGACGTCCCAGCAATCAGGCAACAGGAGCTGGACGCCCCGTGCTTCTTTTCTTTGCCTCCTCCCTTTGCCAATTTCTTCCTCCCTTGCCAACATCAACCATGGACTGGTGTTAACCATGGTTAACATGAGGCAAGCTTAGCAGACCAGCTTGCTGTTGCTGTCATGTGCTGTCACATCATCTCCAGCCCTACAAAGGAAAGCCCCCCAAAACTTCCTGTCCATGACAGTTCCACTCAGCTCTCCAAGTTCAAGGCTGTGGCTTCCTTTATGGGTTCAATCCATCTCCCACTTAGTCTTCCTTTTCTTCTTCCGCCTTTGACTTTCCCCAACATAACCTTCTTCTCCAGGGAGGTTTCCCTTCACATGATGTGTCTGACGAAGGGCTGGGGTGAAGGTCACTTTTGTCTCTAGGAAAAGCTCTTCAAGTGCTTTGTGGTGGTGCAAACTTAACACTACGCCATGGTTAATGCTCTCATGAAAAGGAAAATCTGAGAGCAACTTGAGGAGGAAACATCAACACTATCCCAGATTGCTTAACCGTGGCTAAGGGACTGGAGGAGTTGCTTCTGCAGCAGGAGTCTCAGCTGGATGGATTACTGCTCAGGGCCTATCCAGCCTCTAACAAGGGAATTCTCCTCCTGAAAACCCATGAAGGTGGAGAGAGGAGTCCCTGGAGAGAATTCCCCCGGGCATGTGAAATGTGAGAACAAACAGAATGCTAAGGATTTGGCAAGCTCTGTGCCTGTTCCCACCAAGAAATCTGCAGCAGGGCAAAGCAGCTCCAGTCTTGGTTGCTGCTTTGCCCTTGCAGGGCCTTCCCCCTTCACAGAGGATGCAGTTCTGGCAAAACTGGTCTGAGATGAAGTGCTAGCCAAGGTCTGGCTGGTGACTGGGATCCAAGAGCAGTGAGTGCAGATTGAATGGCCCAGTGCCCGTGATGCATGGGCCACCGTCATGGTCCCTGCTGACCATGTAGGGCTATTTTGGGGCGAGCTGGCCCTGCTGCAAAACACCGTTACAGGTCATTTTACTAGCACAAAAGGACTACTGGAGCACTGCAATGAGACGGCAAGCGACAGAGCTCTGGATGAACCAGGCAGAGTTGCATGCAAACCAAAAGCCCTTTATTCCACCAGGGAAGCCACCCCAGTTAAAAGGCACCACCGATCCCACCTCAAGATTAAACCCCACAGCCACCCGAAACAAATTCCTCCACCACATGTTAGTAACTGGCATGACTGCGCACTGGAACACTGTGCGCAAAACCAGCCCCAATTTGGAAACGTTACAGAAACTCTTATGTGAATCCCACGGATGTGACAGTCGCTGGCAGAACCGTTTCCATGGTTCTGCAGCAATTTCTGCACAGAGCGCCAAGCTATTCACACCCACGGTTTTGTGCCTGGCATCCAGCCAAATGCAATCCCAAGCTGATCAACTTTGGGCATGCGTGAAGCCACAAAGGAGTCTGTCTCGCAAAATGAGTCAAAGAACCACCTTTGCACTCGAGGACACTGGGACAAAAGCCCTCAATGTCAGGAGTATGTTGATGGCCTCTGGGTTAGTCAAGAGTGCCCAAGAAAGAGATCATAGGGGTGAAGTGGACAGCTCCACGGGGCTCACACAAGCAGCTGCTGTGAAAAATCAAAGTCCAGTCTGGCACAACTGGGAAAGGAAAGGAAGCAAAGCTATCAGTTGGGGGTGGGAATCTCTCAGACTTCCCCAGATTGCCTCCCTGGACTCCAGTCTGCATTCTCTCTGCCCTAAATCCACCTTGCCCCGAATGTTTTTGTGGGCATCTGGCAGGAAGCAAGTCCAAGCAGAGTTCTGCTTCCACACACTTAACTGACAGGCTTTGTGTGTTTTACACAAACACTTCGAGCAAAGAATGATGCACTTTGCAAATTTTGTGCAAACAGAAGAAACCACCAGCAATCCTGAGAATTCGCAGATTTGATCTCACCTCAGCTCACTTCCCGGCCAGCACAGAAAAGAAGTCCAGTGAGCACAAAGCGGCCACACTGTGGCCAGTTTTGGCTAGTAAAAAAGATACTGGTGGGTTGGGAAAGGTGTGGCAAAAGGGCAACTAAAATGATCAATGGGGCGGAGCAGTTCCCCTTTCAATAGCCAAGATTGTTGAGGGTAGAAAAAAGGCCACCAAGGGGAGAAAGGACAGAGGTGGACAAAATTGCTCTCTGGAGGAAGTGGACAAGGAGACATTTCCCTCCTCTGTCATCAGACTAGAGCCCAAAGGGGTCACGCCATGAAGCTGACCGAGAATGAAGGGCTTCTTTGCATAGCACAGAGTTAAGCTTTGGAATTTGCTACTACCAGATGCAAGGCTGGCAACTCATTTAGACAACTTTAAAATGGGACTGGAGAATCCATGCAGCAGGAGGGGGTTATCAATGGCTACTTGTCCTTCTGGCTGTATGCCACCTCCAGCATCAGAGCAACCTGTGGCCCAGTTGCAGGGGAACCTGGGCAGAAAGATCCTGTTCTTCTCCTGACTTGTTTGTGGATTTCCTGTGGGCAGGTGGGTGGCCAGTTCTGTGCATACAGAACACTGCACCAGATGGACCCTGAGTCTGGGTCTGATCCTGCAGGGCTTTCCCTGTGTTCTCTTTAGTTCTACAAGACTCCTCCGTGCCTTGGCAAAGGCCAGCAGCAGCCTGAGCAAACTTTCGAAAAAGAAAAAGGAAAACCAACCCCATGCACAGCTAGCAAGGTCCAGACGCCGTCTGTATTTACCTTGGAATGTACGGCTTGCACACCTGCTTCTTGTATGCATCATGTAAACAACTTCAACTTGGGACTGCACGTCGTACATCTCTCAAAGTGAAGCGAACTCCAGTTAGGACATTATACTTTTTATTTTATTTTTATTTATTTACTTAAAAAATTATATAATGCCATTTATTAAAGTCATATAACGTCTTTAAGGTCCTAGAAGATTCCCTGCTGACTTTTGCTGCAAAGGAGTAGCCTGCCTGCCTGCCTGCCTGCCTGGATTCTGAGGGGAAAAAATAAGGGTTCTAGATAACATGGAAAAAGCACGTGGCTCAGTTCCAACCTGAATGAAGTTCTAAGCCCAGGCACAATGCCCACACCGCCCTCTTCCATGTCCCTCATGGATTCCCTGAAGTCTAAAATGAGCGCCCATCTTAACCGCCACCCCGTCGTGCAGTCTGCAATACAAGAATCCCAACTCTTTATACAGTTCCTCTAAGGATCACTCCTCTATTTCCAAAGTTCAGGGTTGGGTAGAGATGATTACCTAATCAAAGAAGCACCAGACACGCACATGGCAAAGGTACATCAAGTTTAGGGGGAAAACCCTTAGTCTTTTCATGGAAGGCAACAACCCAAAACGGCCCAATGAGGACTGAGATCGCGAGCAGTCACGAAATGCTGCATCATGATTGGAGGGGGACTTGAACTAAAAAGGGATCGAATGAATGAAATATCCTGACAGAGGGGAAGGCTGGGCAGAACACTCTGAACTGCAACATTTTGTTGCAGGCGAAGCCCTGCAGGAATGTGCTTTGAAGAGCAAGCGACTTGCATCAGGGCAAGCAGCCACATGAATGGAGCTAACAGAGAAACATGAGCTGAAGGTCGCTTACGACTGAGGCACAGTACACCTTGCTTTTGTATCACTCCTGTTTGCTATGCTGGGATGTGAACAGGAGTGTTTTCTACAGGTCTGTGTGTCCAGACTCTAGTGCACAGATTGAACACACAGCACTTCTGCAGAGAGGGGCCCATTAGCTGCCGACCTCTCGCAAACACAGGAGCAGATGCCGTCTAAGCAGCTGCCCATGCAGACTCCTGATTGTGCAACTCCAGCCAGCACACACAGTATGTCCTTTGGACTTTGCACTCATGCTTCCCATACAAAGCACTGCTCATCCAGCTGTATGAAAACACAGAGCCCTTCCCGAACAGACTCGCCTGACCCTCCGGCTGGATGGGCCCAGGCATCCAGGAGTGGTAAACACCAATACCGTTTCCATTTGCAGACTCCCTAAACCACAGGTGCCGAATTTCTTTTAGTTCAAAGACCAAACCGTGCTTCCAAGAAGCTCTCCAGAACTGCAGTCCAGTGTCAGGCAGGGGCTGCGGCTACAGGGAAAGGGGTGAGGCTACTGGAAGGGTGTGGCTATCCCAAGCTTAACCAAATCACCTTGATGGGCATATGAATAAACGTTACCTGGTTGGTCTGAATTTTGGGCACGTGCACCTTCCACATCTGAGTTTCCCTAGAGATTGCCATCTCCAGGAGGAGAGACAACCTCTGGCTCTCCAGGGGTCCCGAAAGCTTCATGGTACCCCTTGGGTCTGCCTGCCGCCCAACTGGTTACAGCAACCTGCAAAAGGGAAGAAGAGAGAAGAGTCAAGGATCCTGTCCCGCTTTCAAAGGGTCCTTCTTCTGCCGCCTTTAACTTGAAGCAGGGCCGCTGTGGCTGGGGACTGCATAAGCAGAGCCCGCTGGAGCCGGGGATCAAACTAGACGGCATGGGAGGCCCCTTGTGTCTGTGTTTCTAGTGACTACAGGTGTTCGACCAGCACTCAGGAGATCTGGGCTGTAGTCACCACTCAGACTCAAAGCTCACCTACCTCACAAGGCTGTTGTGAGGAGCTAACAGAGAGGGCAAAGACTATGTAAACTGCCTCAGCTTCTTTGCAAGAGGAAAAAACACAAGGTGTGAAAGAGATAAGCATGACACGTTTTACCACCATGTCTAACTGTCATCTTTGCTCCTGCTGGTGATTTACTTTTCCTTGATGACTTACCAGGGTCCACAATGGAGGACAACTGTCCGAAGAAGATTGATTTACTGACCTCACAATGCAAGATCCACCCCGAGAAGATCACTGTTTGCTAGGGTGGATTCCATACCCGGTACTTTCCAGATGTTTTGGACTGCAATTCTCATTAATGCCCAGCCAGCATGGCTATGGCCATGGTATCACTATAGCCTTGCTGGTTGAGAATTATGGGAGTTGCAATCCAATGCATCTGGAGGACACCAGGCGAAAAAAGATGGTTCAGGTTAAACTCTCCAGTCCTTCAGGCCTGGCTGGTCAGTGCCCTTAGTATGGACTCAGGGCCTTCCCCAAGAACCCTCTGCAAACTCCTGGAGTTCCTTGGAAGGATCGCCTGGGCAGACAAGGCCGTGCAGAAAGGGTTGCCCAAAGACACGCTTTGCACACCCTTGCTCTGTATTCTGTGACCCACCCCTCTCAAAGAAGAACCGTGCTGTGCAACTCATGGTTTAAATGGCTGTCATTGTCACTTCAGACAAGGGTTTTTCTGGCCAGCTGCATTCACTCAATTAAAGCACATCTCCCGGGCTGTACTCGCCAGTCGGCCTTCCCGGCTCCTCCCTTCAGGCCTCTCAACAACCCAGAGAGGTAGCTTAAGCTGAAACAGAGGCAGGAGGCTGGTCCAGGGTCCTCCACTATGTTTCATGGGCAAGTGAATCTGGATCCATCTAGCACCTCTAAACCCAGGGTCCCCAACTTCTCTGGATCCGGGAGCGCATCTGCAACTTTGAGAAGGAGCTGCTGGTGCCACCACAAAACGGTTCCTGCACAGGATGTGGCCAAGGGGAGCCAACATGTTTTGCTTTCATGCGCTGCTGCAAACTGCCCAAGGAGTTCTGGCTATGGGGTGGAACAAAAATGAAACAGATATGATGGCAACAATGACCTGATGCCATCGTAGGGGCCTGGCTAGTCCAAAACGAACCAAAGAGGTGGTGGGAAGGAATAGTAAGGCTAGGATTTGGGAGGGGAGAGAAAGAAGGAGCACAGGAGGTGTGTGTGGGAAGGAATAGTGATGCTAGGAGTAGGGAGAAACAGCAGGGTAAGGAAGAGGGGAGAGAAACGGCAACGCTAGAGACTGGGAAGGGCTGGGAAATAGCAAGGCAAAGGGATGCTGCAGGGAGAAACAGCAAGGGAAATGGGGAAGGCAAATAGTAAAGCCAGAGGCTAGGTGGAAGGGGGGAGCAGCAAAGCAAAGGGTAGAGAAAGAGCAAGGGGAGAAGAGGAAGAGAAGAGGAGAAACAGCGTGCTAAGAAGAGGAGAAACAGCGTGTTCAAGAAATGAGGAACTCGCAGGATGGAGAGGAGTTGAGATTATCAAGGCAAAGAGGCAGATGGGAGAAAAGAGCAAAGCTGGAGGCTAGAAAGGACAAGAACAACTGCAAAAGAAACTAGCATTCCAGGTTTTTTTTTCTTAAAATATTTTTTGAAGAAGAAAGGGACAGGAGAGTTTTGTAGGAGTTGCTGGAGGTCCCCATGGGCACTGTGTTGGGGATTCCTTCTACAACCACTACACAGGTTCTCCAGGTATGATAAAGACAGCAAACACGGAACTGCCTGTTGGAGCTGCAGTCTAGCAAATCCTGCTAGGAAAACAGGCTGGCACAGGCGAGCTGAGCATTAACTGCATGTACGCACTTAGAGAAACGCACAAAATGCCTCCCACGGCAATTTCTCCCCATTTGAAATTGTTCCTAGATCTAAAATTAATTTAGATGGTAGTTGTAGTGAAAGATTTTGGTTGCTAAAATTCAAACTGGTTTCTAAGAAGTGTTGTTATAGATAAATGACTTCACAAGTGTTTGACTTCCCATTGGGAACTTTTCCAAAGGCCTTGCTGAGCAAATCGAATGGGCTAAGATTGATGGCCATAATCCAATAAAGTTTAGCAGGTGCCAAGTTCTAAGAATGCGGAACTGAGACTCAAGCAATCTGGCATTCAGGCAAGGAGTCAACTGGGTGACTCTGGGCTAGTCACAGACTCTCGGTCCAATTTACCCCACATGCTTGTTGCTGTGGGGACAAAACTGAGAGCAACAGCAGAATGATGTAAGCTGCTGAGGTGTTTGGTTTTTTTTTAAGGTGGGATATAAATCTAAAATATAAATAATGAAGGTCAAGAGCTCCTGTGCTGAGAGCAAAGTCTGCCCCATTCATTTCAGTGATGCCTGAGCTGCATCCAATCCCAATCAAAGGTGTTCCATTCATTTCAGTTGGCCTACTCCAAGGGGGACTAAGATGACCGTAAAGAATTAGACATAGGAAGCAATCTTTGAATCTCTGGTCATCAAGAAAAGACATCAGGTTTAATGGAATTAACTGGTACAGCAGACAGATGGGGATACCTATTTTGCAACCTTCCACCTGGGCCTAACTGGTGGATCTCAGGTTCTGTGAGCCGCAAAAGGGTACATGATACTCGTAGGTACTGCACCCTCTACCGAAATGAATGGGGGAACCAAGCACTGCGTGCCAAGAGCTTTGGATTGCTCTACACAAGCCAATCCAGCCTTTTTCTGTTTACTTAAAGCCAGGACCTGTTCAGCCTCAGTTCTGAAACTGCTTTTTCTGGATTTGCAAGTGGGAGCACATGACAGAAACAACAAAATAAAATAAACTATAATAAATAATAAATTATGACACACACACAGTTTGCCATACTTAATTTCCTCTAGATTATGCCTTGTGGCTGCGGATCAGGCAAGGTGTGTGATCACAGCAAATTTGCCACTGACTGATGCCTTTGTGAGCTCATTAAGAAGTCCAGACGCACCTCTCCAAAATCATTGCTGAAACTCTCTTTTTTAATTTGATGCTCAATAACAGCAGGCAGAACGCTCTGTGGGACACACATTTCTGGAGTTGCAGGCCGAACAAATGGAGCTTTATGTCTTAGAAAAAGCAGAATTCAAAAGGGGCAAAGGAAGAAAACTGTACAGATAAGGAAGCTACCTTCCCAGTATTTCAGGACCAGCGTTCCCTTTCTCACTCTCTGCTCTTCAATCCACACTATGCTTTGAAGAGACGTGGTTTTCTCCTTTACTTGTTCAGAGGTGCAATTTAATCCTCGTGAGAAACGATGGCTTTAAGTTCCAAACTCACAACAGTCATAACAATTTTCAGAGAAGCTTGTATGTCTTCATCATCAGTACTCACAATGGTCCACCTTGTAAATTCGTTCCTGTTTCCACCATACAACCATCTTTGGATGCATAACCAACAATAACCACCATAACCATGGCTTGTCAAGCCAAACTTTGCACCAAAGTATGGTTACCACAAACCATGGTTGCCTAAGCCACTTCTAGCCATAGTTTCTAAGTCTTTACTGACTGGTCAGGTGTGTCAATTCGGATATCACACTAAAGTCATGCCTCTTTAACAGAAGAATAGTGTGACGCCTGAAATGAGCCAACCTCTCCGCAAGAAACCTTTATGAAAGAATATTACCAACTGTACTAGCAGTGGGCAATTGCTGGAAGTCGGGGGGAAATGCCCCAGCCTTCAGTGGGTAAGGCCTCATAAAAAAAGGTGAATTCGGCTTCTAACAGGTGCCTGTAGGCTGTCACAGAAACAGAATGGAGACATGCCAGTGTGACCTGTTTCCTTAGCTATTGTGCTGGAAAACAAGAAAGACAGTAAGTGCATGTCCTCTTTCCAATGAAAATCACACACCTGTTTCTAAGCCAGTTTTGCTGGGAAGCAAAGAATGCATGTCCCACACACCTGGCAAAATTGCTACGGTTTCGGCAAGGATGGGGAGCAGGCTTATTACATCCATCTTCTGATCAGCGTCTTACAGTTGACCTCCATCACAAGCAGTAGTCCCTTCCTTCGACTTTTCCACATTTTGCTGTTTTACAACCTGGGACTGAAATGGATACAATTAGCATTTTTACCACTGGGCAGTTTCATTGCACTGCAATAAAGAGATTCTGCACCTTTGCAGTGTTAAGCACTTTGTGTACATCAAGTGGTAACAATACCAATGCAATCCATTTCCACTCAAGGTTTTAACATAACAGAGTGTGGAGAAGTCAAATGAATATTTCTGCAAGGCCCTGTCTTGTTGCAATCTCCAGAATGCACAAAGAGCACACTCACTCGGAAGGACTCCAGCTCTACAATGTACAAACAGACACTCTTCGAAAGGTGTTCCAAGGTATCGCTCTCCAGCCCTGGAACACTCTGTTTCTTGACAACAGCCAAACCTGGAGCCTAAATAACTCCGGAATGCAATTTAAGAGCTCCTGTTGAATAAGGCATCAAGAAGAAACCAGAAAAGGGTGTTTCTTGCTTCTTAATTTCATGCATCTTCTGTCTGAAAGAATTTTTGATTCTCTTGCCTGAGGGCTTCACACAGTCCTTCCAGGGAGAGACATGGAAATTTCACTTGGGCCGCCCAGAATAAAGATAGGATGCTCCACAGGCCTTGCTCTCCGTTCTCCCACCTATCTCAGTCATGCCCAAAGCCAAGTTTTCTTCGTTTTAGTCTAGTAAAACAATTTCTTTAACATAATACATTTAAAAATCTAATGTTA